GAGGAGGTGGAGGAGGAGAAGGAATGATGATGATGCTGCTGATGATGATACTGATGATGATGATGATGGTGGTGGTGATGATGATGATGAGGATGGTTCTGCTGGTGATGGTGATGACGATGATGGCAGTGGCGGTGTACGACGACGGCGACAATGCTGACGATGATGATGGTTATGTTGATGCTGATGGTGATGCTGATTCTAATGATGCTGCTGCTGATGATGCTGCTGATGCTGATGCTGATGATACTGCTGGTGGTGGCGGTGTCGATTACGATGCTGATGATGACGTCTCGGATTTTGATGATGCTGCTGAGCTGATGATGACGATGATGCTGATGATGAGGATTATGATGATGATGCCGATTGTGTTGTTGATGATGATGGTTCATCACGATGATGCTGATGATGCTGATGATGATGCTGCAGATGATGATGACTGTTTTTCATGATGATGCTGATGATTTGGATGACGATGATGCGGATGCTGATGCTGATGCTGATGCTGGTGATGATGAAGATGATGCTGATGAACTTGATGATGTTGATGTTGCGGATGCTATTGATTCTGATGATAGGGGTGTTGATACTGATGCTGATGATGCTGATGCTGCTCACGATGCTGCTGCTGCTGATGATGCTCTATATGATGAAGATGATGCTGATGCTGTTGATGATGACGTTGATGATGATTATGCTGATGCTGATCATGATGTTGATGATCGATGGTGATGGTGATACTGATGCTGATGCTGATGCTGCCGATGCTGATGACGATGCTGATGTTGATGACGATGATGATGATGATGATGATGATGATGATGATGATGATGATGATGATGATGATGATGATGATGATGGGGATGATGATGCTTCTTCTGATGCTGCTGGTGATTGGGATGGTTGTGGTGGTGGTGATGATGATGATGCTGCTGCTGCTGCGCTGCTGCTGCTGCTGCTGCTTCTACTGATTTGCTGCTGCTGATGATGATGGGGATGTTGATGCTGCTGCTGCTGCTGCTGATGATGATGATGATGATGAGCATGACAGGGACGATGAATATGAAGCTGCTGCTGTTGCTGCGGCTGCTGAGGTGGTGGTGGTGGTGCGCAGATGGTGATGACGATTCGATGATTGTGATGATGATGATGATGATGATGATGATGATGATGATGGTGATGATGATGATGCTGATGATGATGATGATGATAATGATGATGATGATGGATGTGATGATGCTGATGATGATGTTGATGATGCTGATGATGCTGATGATGATGGTGATGATGATGATGCTGATGCTGATGATGATGATGCTTATGCTTATGCTGATGCTACTACTGCTGCTGATGATGCTGATGTTGATGCTGATGCTGATGCTGATGCTGATGCTGATGCTGCTGATGATGATGATGATGATGATGATGATGATGGTGATGGTGGTGATGATGATGATGACGATGACGATGACGATGATGATGATGATGATGATGATGATGATGATGATGATGATGATGATGATGATGATGATGATGATGATGATGATGCTGCTTTCGTGCAGGAGGAGGGGGAGGAGGAAGTCGGAAGAGGATACGCAGGGAGGATGGAGGCTGAGGGAGCAGGAAGGATAGGGGAGAAGGTTGGAGGAGAGGAAGGGAGGTTGGAGGAGGGAGAGGAGGGGGGGGAGGGGAGCAGCAGCACGCGGCGGGCCCTTGGTGGGCTACCCACCTCGGCCCCTCTCGCCAGGACGCGACCGAGGACGGTGGGTGCGTCATCGTCTGCCGCGGCTGGGGTGCGGACGGCCCCGGGATCGCGCAGGCGTTCACCCACGTGACGACGCGGCACCCGGGTCCCCAAAACGATGCGCTGCGCGCAAGCGCTCGAGTGCAGCACCGTGTCGGCACCGGCCAATAGGCAAGAGGCGGAAACGCCGCGCAGCGACGAGCGCAGATTATACAACATTTTCCACACGTGGCATAGCCATGTACAGCAAATCCAGTTTGCGAAGTCTTGTTCATTGCTCCCATGTCGTCGTAAAAACACCGTCGAGTGAGCCCCGACATCCTCGCGCCGTGGACCAAAAAGTCACGGGGGCAGGGTTTGGGGCGATTTTCGGCCTCCGAGGGACAGTACAAACGCAACTCGTGACGAAAAGCCGATCTCCGGGAATGGCTCCAGACCTCCAGACCTCTTGGGACCCACGATGTGTGAAACAACGGCGTTGGATGCTTAGGATGCTGTCGAGTGAATCGGAGTTCATTTGGGGTCAGCGGACCGTTTTTGGGCTTGGGTCGTTCTCCGAGGGCGTCTCAAGCGCCCAGGGCGCCCACTGTCTCGCGACCGTGGTGTGACGGGACCTCAGGGGCAACGTTAGGGGGGTGTTGGTTGAGGCGGGATGCACAGGCCCCTGATCGCCCATTCATAGCCGATAGAGACCTGATAGACCACCCCGCCCAGGAGCGTGCGGTTTCGCTGTCGGGGCCTATCGCCGGTCTATCGGCGATGCATCGCCGATTCCAGCTCGATGCCCCGCTGAGCCAGCTCTCCCCCTGACGTTCGCCCTCAGGACAGTGCGATGAGATCCCTGCGCGGTGAGCTCCTTGGGGTTTCGATGCCCCCGCACACTCCGCCGCTGGGCTGGTTTGGTTCCCCCCCAGGCACGAGTGCCGGATCCTCGACATAGCGCAGTTCTTGCTGGAGGGGTCCCTCATGTTCACCTTCGTGCTCAGTGTCAGGGGACGTCAGAGGAGGAAGCGATACCAGCACCGCCACCCGCCCCTCGTTTGCGCCCTTGTTGGGCCTCCCGGGAGGCCCTCGTCTCCACGGCGGGATTCGCCTCAAGCCCCTGGCCAGAGCGCACCCCAGGCGAGGTCCAGGGTGTGGCGGCATCGGTGCCTGTTGTTGTTTCCATAGGATCGGCCAAGCTGATGCAGGAGCTGGCGGAGTGTGCCAAGGAGAGGGGCTTCCAGCTCGACTTCCATTTCCCGACGAGCGCCAGCCTGGACAGCCCAGCGTCCAGGGGCGATAACCAGGTGGTGATCAGCGTAGTGTCTACCGAGACCATCACACCCGCGCTGCTCTACGACCTCGACGGCGTGCTCTGCGACCACGGCTGCGTGGTGCACGAGATCGAGCACCGCAGCGACAACAAGCGGGAGAACAACGGCGAGTACAACAAGGTCTCAATGCGCGTGGGCTGCCCGACGGGCCTCAAGCCGGCCACCGTGATGATGGACTCCCCAGACCCCGCAGGAGCCCTCAAGCCAGGGCTGCAGAGGGTCGCGTGGGGCCACAGGGCGGAGGTGACCATCCGCTGGTGGGACGCCATGAACCGGCCGACCGGCAAGTCCCTCGTTGTCTTCGGGCTGTCGCACGTGCTCTGCCCCTACGACGTGTTGGACGAGTTGCTGAGAGCGGCTGGCATCGACGTGGAGAAGGCCTCCTCCATCACCTCCCGGATGCCTGTTGAGTCTGCCAACCAGAAGAAGGCCGAAGGAGGAACAACCACATGAGCGACGCACAGAAACGGGTTCGGCTGCATCGACGTTCGCGCGTAAGCTGCTCGCGCAAGGCGGCGCGTAAGCGCCCTCGTCTCCATGGTGGCTCGCCGCGCCGGCGGCCCGCGTAAGCTGCGGCGCAAGTTCGCCGTGCCACCTCGCGGAAGACCCGCTTCTCATCGTCGCTCACGCGAAGAGTTTTGGAGGTCCGCGCGGACCTCTCGGACCGTCGCTGGATAAGCCTGGGCGACGCCCTTCACCTTCGGCGCCGCACCGTGGCGCGCTCCGCACGCCAAGGAGGGGGGCCCGGCGCCGGTCCACGAGATCCGCGCGGACCTCCGACAGTTTGTGGTTTTTGGCGTGCCGTTCTCAGGGGCACCGACAGGGGGGGATAGGCAGAAGGGGGGGATGCATTGACCCCCATTCGCCAATTGATCGCCGATAGGGGCCCAAGAGTCTCAACCTGCCCAGGAAAGTGCGGGTTCACTCTCGGAGGCCCATCGCCGATCTAGCGGCGATGTGTCGCCGATTTCAGGCCGATGCATCCCCCCTTATGCCAGTCCCCCCATATCGTTGCCTCTCACTTTCTTTCTCTGGAAGGTTTCCATGCTGAAGGGCAAGCCCGTGGAGGTGTTGGAGGCCGTCGGCAAGAAGCTGAAGTTCACTCCAGGCACGAAGCTCGTGTGCGCCGCCCTTAAGCGTATGGGCTTCACCCTCGCGATCCTCACGAACACGGGCTGCCGGGAGGTGGCCGACGCGGTCAGGATGCACCTGGACATCGATTACGTGATTTGCCGTGACCTGGAGGAAGTGGACGGAGTGCTCACGGGGTCGTACTCTGGAGAGCTGACAGACATCAGCTTTCGGAAGTCCGACCTGCTCAAGCTGATGGCGGAGCGCGAGCAGATCGAGTTCCGCAACGTTATCGCGGTGGGCGAGCCGCTCAAGGGCCTCAAGAGGGCCGAGGCGAGGGTTATGATGGAGACCTTCGGGCCGATGGTGTACTTCAGCACTCACAAGCTGAAGGACCTGACCATCGTGCTCTACCTGCTGGGCTTCCACGGCACCGACGTCCGCGCCCTGAGGAAGAGGAGATGGGAGGAGGGCCCTGGGGAGTCCGCGCCCCTGCCACCGGCGACCAAGCGGTTCCTGGTCATGGTCGCCCGGAGGAACAACAAACTGCATAAGCTTACGGTAGGTTCTCGTCGTGTCGACTGGCGGCGATCCCGCCGCTGGTGTTCCATGTCGAACGCCGCCGGCGACCCAGAATCGGTCGATGTTGAACGATCCGACGTTTCGGAAACGGCCGATCGTTCAAGGTTGAAAAATCCTCGCGGGGTCAGGAGGCAACGCCCTGGTCGACACGACACGAACTTGCCGTACACCTTCGGAGGTCCAGCCGGATTTTTCGGCCGGCGTCTTGACAGTCTGATCAGCCCCCCTGACGCGCTTCTGGCGCCAGGGAGGGGGGTCCAGGCACCGTCTGGACATCAATGATTGCCATGCGGTATGTTCGCGCCGTGCCGACGCGGCGGCGACCCCCAGCGCGGGAGTTCCAGGTGGAACGCCGCCTGCTGGCCTGGAAGCGGCCGCCATCACACGATCCGCGCCATGGAAGCGCCGCGACCGCTCGAGGCTGGGCGATGCTCGCGGTGTCCGAAACCAAACGCCCGGGTTGTCACGACCCGACACGACGCGAACCCAGCCTGTGCCACGGTGGGTTCGCGTCGTGCCGACCAGCGGCGACCCCGCCGCCAGCGGTCGCCACCGGCGTTCAACGTTGAACGCCGCCGGCGACCCAGAGTCGCTCGACGTGGAACGTTCTGTCGTGGCGGAAAGGGCCGATTTGTTCCAGGTGGAACGATCCCCGCGGTGTCAGGAAGCACCGCCGGGGTCGGCACGACCCGAGCCTGCCGTGTGCAGTCGTCCTGCTCTTCCAGACTCCCGACGTCATGTCTTTTTCCGCAACGTCGGCCCCAGGGAGGTCTGGACTCCTTCCCGGGCCCCGGTTTTCATCCCGAGCGGTCTTGTGACGGTCCCGAGGCCCGGTGAGGCAAGGGTCCGCGGAAGCCAATCACATAGGGAAGCTTCCCGATGCGACTTTTCCACGACGGGGTCTGGATTCTTCAGGAGGGGACAACACACAGGCACGAGTAATCGTAAGTCGGGCCTGTCCCTCTACAGGAGGAAAATTCAAAAATGGTCAAAAATAGTCAGGGGACGATCTTTTTGACAATTCTGGAGTATTTGTAGATTTGTTTTTTTTGTTTTTTTGGTTTTTGTTTTCCGTCCAAAATCACCCTGTAGAGGGCCAGGAACAGATGGGAAAATGTGGGAAGTGGGGGGGAAGACGAACGCCCAGAAGATCTGTGAAACTAGGGGAGTCTTGGGATTTGTGTGTGTATATCTATTTGTGCGTCCCTGGGCCCCTGCGATGCTGCTCGCCCAGGTCACGGCCCGCTCGCGGGAGCCCGGCCAGGTGCGCAAGATCCTGGCCCCGCTGCGGCCGGCGGGGGCGCGCGTGGAGGTGCAGACGGTGAAGCACTGCAGCTTGCAGGACGGGGGCATGTGCGTCGGACTGCAGCTGCAGGCTCGTCTGCGAGAAAGAATAACATAACTATTGACTGTACACACATAAAAAACCCTCTGGGCCATAACGCGCGCCATGCCCCCTACCTCCCCGCCCTTTCCCCCCCCATAACGTAGCGCCCCCCCCCATCGGGGCGTCCCCGGCACTGCCTGCCGCAGTGCGTCTGGCACCACAGTGTGGGGTGGGTGGGGCGCGCTACGCTACGCTATGCCCCCTCCCGTCCCCCCCCGTTCCCCCCCCATAACGCCCGTTATGACTGCGAGTAAAAAATGCGCCCCTCAGGGGCAACGTTTGGGGGGAATGGGATCAGTCGGTAGCAAGTCATGGGGAGCCTTGTGTATTTTCGTATCTCCGTCTTTCGAGTGCATTCGCGTTGGTTGGCGTCTGGTAGTCGATGAGATGGCGCCGATGTTTGGTCGATTCGCGTCGGCTCGCGGCGGTGAGCGTCGATTGGCGTCGATTCGCAAGAGCCAGCAAGATGGTACGGGAGGCTAGGCTCTTCCCATGAGTTGCCGCCGAAGGGGGGGACGGGCTCAGGGTCAAGCGCATCGACCTCCGATCGCCCATTGGTCGCCGATAGGGGCCCGAGGAGGAAGAGGAGGGGGAGAAGGAGAAGAGGAGGGGGGGAGGAGGAGGAGGAGGAGGAGGAGGAGGAGGAGGAGGAGGAGGAGGAGGAGGAGGAGGAGGAGGAGGAGAGGAGGAGGAGGAGGAGGAGGGGAGGGGGAGGAGGAGGGTGGAGGGGAGGAGGAGAGGAGGAGGGAGGAGGAGGAGGAGCAGGAGGAGGAGGAGGAGAGGAAGGAGGAGGAGGAGGAGGAGAGGAAGGAGGAGGAGGAGGGAGGAGGAGGCCCAACCTTCCCCTGAGCCGGCTCCCCCCCCCTACGTTCCCCCTCAGAGAGGGGCGGGGATCCCTAACTTGTCTGTTTCGTTTGTTCTTGTCTTGTTGCAGCGAGGCTCTCCAGAGGTCCCAGCGAGGGGAGGCCCAGCGGAGTGGGCTGTCACGCGGACCCTGTCGAGACCTCGCGGCCCCCTTGGGGGGCCGCGAACTGCGCAGCATTCACCACTTTCGTGGGCTCCTGGGAGGCCCAGCGGAGGGGTGTCGCGCGGGCGCTGTCGAGCGAGACATTGCGACTCATTGGGGCTGCGAACTGCACACTGCGGGTCGTTCAACATGTTCGTTTGTAGCGGTCCCGAATATAGTCGCGACATGTTTGGAATGGGTTGGGCACGTAAGGTGGTGATACTGTTGTTGTTGTTGTTGTTGTTGTTGTTGTTGTTGTTGTTGTTGTTGTTGTTGTTGTTGTTGTTGTTGTTGTTGTTGTTGTTGCTGCTGTTGTTGTTGTTGGTGGTGGTGGTGGTGGTTGTTGGTTGTTGGTTGTTGGTTGTTGTTGTTGTTACTGCTGTTTGGTGTTGTTGTTGTTACTGTTGTTTGTTGTTGTTGCTGTTGTTGTAGTTGTTGTTGTTGTTGTTGTTGTTGTTGTTGTGGTGGCAGTTGTTGTTGTCATTGTTGTTGTTGTTGTTGTTGTTGTTGTTATTGTTGTTGTTACTGTTGTTGTTGCTGTTGCCGTTGTTGCTGTAGTTGTGGTTGTTGTTGTTGTTGCGGTTGTTGTTGTTGTGGTTGTTGTTGTTGTGGTTGTTGTTGTGGTTGTGGTTGTTGTTGTTGTTGTTGTTGTTGTTGTTGTGGTTGTTGTTGTTGTTGTTGTTGTTGCTGTTGTTGTTACTGTTGGTTGTTGTTGTTGCTGTTGTTGCTGTAGTTGTGGTTGTTGTTGTGGTTGTTGTTGTCGTCGTCGTTGTTACTGTTGTTTGTTGTTGTTGTTGTTGCTGCAGTTGTGGCTGTTGTTGTTGTTGTCGTTGTTGCTGCTGCTGTTGCTGCTGCTGCTACCGCTGTTGTTGTTGTTGTTGCTGTTGTTGTTGTTGTTGCTGTTGCTGTTGCTGTTGCTGTTGCTGTTGCTGTTGTTGTTGTTCTTGTTCTTGTTGTTGTTGTTGTTGTTGTTGTTGTTGTTGTTGTTGTTGTTGTTGTTGTTGTTGTTTCGTTGCAGCGAGGCTCTCCAGAGGTCGATCTGCTCTCCCCGCTGAGACGGCCCCCTCCCTTGACAATTGGGCGACGCAGAACGAATGGGGCCGTCTGCGGCGACATTTGCGCGTAAGCTGCTCGCGCAAGGTCGCGCGTGAGCGCCCCCACGTTTCAAGTTGCAGCGTGCCGCGCTGGCGGCCCGCGTAAGCCGCCGCGTAAGGTCGCTTGTTCATCTCGCGTGAGACCCCGTTGTGTCCGTCGTTCATGAGTCAGGGGAACGTAAGACTCGTGTACGCCGGAACTCGGGTTTGCCGACGCTTTTTGACGAGCGCGTCCTGGACTTTCACGTTCCAGTTTTCGTAGGATGGTTGCAGCGGGAGCTCGCGTCATATTTCAGACTGGGCCCCGTCATTTTCATGACGGCCCCGTGATGCCAACCCGATTCCCCCGAACCCGAGTCGTACGTCCCCACGAGCAAAAGAAGCGGTGGGGGTGCCTGAGGAGACCAGGGGTCTTCGGAGGGCCCCAGTTATCCAGGGGTGTCTGAGGGCCCCCCTCGAGGGAGGAGCGAGGAGGGTGTGGGAGGGAGGGAGGAGGGAGGAGGGAGGAGGGAGGGAGGAGGGAGGGAGGAGGGAGGGAGGAGGGAGGAGGGTGTGGGGGGAGGGGGAGGAGAGGGAGGGAGCCCTCCCCCGAACCCGAGTCCTGCGTCTCCCCGAATTCGCCCCTCGCAGGTGCAGAGGGAGGAGCCCGACCAGGCCGCCCGCCCGCCCCCTCCCGCGCGGCCACGCCGTGCCCCCCGGGGGGCCTCCCTCTGCGGGGTTCGCAGGAGAGGCAGGGCCCGAGCAGCGCGCCGCATGGCCCACGCCCGCGGGACCGAGGTGCACGGTGGGACCGAGGTGCAGTCAGCCCGTGTCCCTAAGGGCCTGGCGGCTTTTCGCCTATCGGCTTGTGGGGATCGAGCCAGATGAATCCAGGTGAATGCAGATACCTCGAGGTAGATCCGGCTAAGTCCAGGTGAATCCGGGTGGATCCAGGTAGATCCAGATATGTCAAGGGGAAGTTGGAGCAAGTCGCGGCCGCTCCAGCGCGAGTCGAGGGACGTCAGAAGTCGTCAAGCCCTCAACGACCGCATAGTAAGTATGGGCAACCTTCCCAAGGCTACCCTTGCATCCTTGCCTCCTCGGTCCATCCTTGGCCGCTTTCGTTGGCCGCGCCCCGCTCGAAAAGCTTCGAAATGGGCGTCCAAGGCCCTAGCATCCTTATCGCACATCCTTACGATACGGGCCGCCGGTACAAGATTGAGGTCGCTTCGGGGAGGGTGCCTCAATGTTCTTCGTGCTTGTTGGATGTCCGTGTGCCTCCAGGGGGAGGGTGCCCTCGGATGCTCTCCATTTTGGCCGGCGGGGGGTCTCATATTCTTGAAGAGTGTTCTTTTGTCGTAGGTCCGACCGTGCCGATACCGCTACCCTTGCCTCGCTTTGGCCTTTTTGGGCCGCCTCCTGGGAGGCCCCCGTGGCCGCGGCTGGACTCCTCTCGAAACTCTGGTCAGAACCGCGCCCAAGGAGAGGTCCTGGGATTGGCGGTAGCGGTACCCGTTGGTTCCCCCAGATGTTTCGGTGATTGTTTGTACGCCGACGTCGCCGATGCATCGCCGACGTGGCCGAGGCATCGCCAATGCATCGGTAATGCATCCACTCGGACTCCATCTGGGATGCCTCTTCACAGGGGCCGCAGTCCCTGACGCCCTTGCGTCGTGAACAAAATCACGACGGAAGGCTTCTGGTAGTTTTCGGCCTCCAAGGGCCGTCATTGGGAGGAGGGAGGATGACGCAGGAGGAGGAAGGAAGATGAGGGAGGAGCTGCGACGAGGAGGAAGAGCAAGGAGGGGGGGGCCTGCTCACCGCCTGTTTTTTTTTGAGTTGGCGTCGTCGTTGTTCCTCGTCGTAGCCGCCGCCGTCGTACCCGTCGTCTACTCGGATTCACGCTCACACGAAGACACTCACAGCCAGACACTCACAACGGGACGTGCCAGAGCATGATATTCACATGTGAAGTTCTCCGCGTCGAGTCATTTCCTCATCGCGAGGATGTCAGGGATTGGCTCATGAGCTGACCATGCGAGCCCCAGGTTTCTCGGGGTGGAATCCGACCCCCATACCCATGCGACCCCCAGACCTGTGCGACCCTCAGAGCTCTGAGGGGGAGCTCTGGGTGTGTGTTGTCGGGTGTGGGCCCCCGCTCGAACCAGAGCCCCTCTCGGGCTTCGACGGCCCGCGCCCATACCTACAGCGCCTTCATCTCCCTGCCCCCCTTCCCCATTCCTCCTCCCCACAGGCTTGATCGGGGGTGGACAGAACCCCCACCCTGACACGTCGATTAGTGAATTGTACGTTTTCGGTTCTCGAGAGGGCGCCGCGGCCGTCATTTTCCAGGCTTGCGCCCGCCAGGTTCGGGCCCGAGGTCGTTTTCACTAAACCACGTTTTACTAAAGGGGATTCTCTCCATCTCCGACTTGAGCGCGTGTTTTTATTCCATCATTGGCGGGGATCGGAGGGGCACCCTCCGCAGCTGCTGCGGCCGGCGCCTCCCGTGCGCGGGTCGTCGGGGAGGCCCCACTGAAGCGCCCCCCGTGCAGGCGCGGCGTGTCTGGCCGGGGTGGAGGTGCCGTTTCTGCTTCGGAGCCGGCCCTGCGGACCCGCAGATGGTCCCCTTTGAGTGAAAGATCGGGGACACGTAAGACCCGGGCTCGCCAGAACTCGGGTTGACTGACCCGGATTTTGACGGGCCCGTCCTGGATATTGACGGCCCAGTTTTCGTGGAGTCCGCCTCAAATTTCAGACTGGGTCTCGTCATTTTCCAGACGGCCCCGTCAGGCCAACCCGCGTCCTCTGAACCCGAATCGTACGTCCCCACGAGTGAAGGAAGGGGGGGGCCCGAGGAGACCAGGGGTCTTCGGAGGGCTCCAGTTATCTGGGGGTGTCTGAGAGCCCCCCTCGAGGGAGGAGTAAGGAGGGTGTGGGGGGGAGGGAGGAGGGAGGAGGGAGGGAGGAGGGCGGAGGGAGGCAGGGAGGAGGGAGGGAGGAGGGAGGGAGGAGGGAGGGAGGAGGGAGCAGGGAGGAGGGAGGAGGGAGGAGGGAGGGAGGAGGGAGGGAGGGAGGGAGGGGTACGGGCGACCACAACCACATACCAGACACGGGGTGAGGGCACGGTCGATCCCGCCCGCTCGTCGTCCTCCTCCAGGTCCTCCTCCTCCTCCTCCTCCTCCTCCTCCTCCTCCTGGCTTCCTGATCGCCAGGGGATCATGGGAATCTGGGGAACAAGGGCCCTGGAAGTTTAAAACGTTTTAAAACTCTTTAAAATTTTAAAAGTTTTAGGGCGCCTAAAACTTTTAAAACTTTTAAAACTTTTATAAGTTTTGAAAATTTGGGGGTCCCTGGTTTCCTGATCGTCGGGGGATCCTGGAGATCTGGGAATCCAGGGTCCAGGGATTTTCAAAAGTTTGAAAATTCTTAAAAAGGTTTAAAAGTTTTAGGGCGCCTAAAACTTTTAACTTTTATAAGTTTTGAAACTTTGGGGGTCCCTGGTTTCCTGATCGTCGGGGGATCCTGGAGATCTGGGAATCCAGGGTCCAGGGATTTTCAAAAGTTTGAAAATTATTCAAAGTTTTATCTGTTTTAGGGCGCAGTTTTGAAACTTTGGGGATCCCTGGTTTCCTGATCGTCGGGGGATCTTGGAGATCTGGGAATTCAGGGTTCAGGGATCTCAGAAGTTTTAAACTTTTAAAAGTTTCAGTCACAAGCCGTGCACCCGGGCGGACGCATAGGCAAGACGAGTTGTGCACGTTGGCACGTTCGTCAAAACATGTGAAACATGGTACATACGAGGCGGCTTTGGCGGCGGTACCATGCCGTTGCCCTTGGTGGACGGCGGGGAAGCGGGCGTGCCCGACATCGCGCGCCTGCGCGCGGCGTGAAGGAAGCGTCGGGATACGCGCGGCAGGCCGCGCGCGAGTCTTGAGCCAATCCTGTTCTGTCGTTGCTGCTCTGGGGCCCGGAGGGGCCAGGAAGCTCTCGCGCGCCATCGTGGTTCGGAAGCTCCGAGAGAGCACTGGAAGTGCCAAGGGGAAAGGTGGAGGTCCCAAAAGGAACCGCGCGGCGTCGGGAACCCCCAAAAAGCTCAGAACCTCGAAGTGCTTTAGCGCCCAGAAGTCACAAGGATCTGCCAGAACGGCCCAGGACAGCTGCGGGGAGCTTCAAGAGAGGGCCCCAAGGCGCCCCGAGACGGCCCTGGGCGAGGGGGCGGACGCGCCCATAAGCCACCCAAATAAGTGAACCAAGGCCTGCTCGTTCAGAGGGCCGTCGGTTCACTTATTTTCGATGCCCAGAGGCCTCCGGAATCTGCCCAGAACAGCCCGCGACAGCTGCGGAGAAGCCCCGGAGAGGTCCCCGGGGCGCCCCGAGACGGCCCTGGGCGAGGGGGCGGATGCGCTCATGGGCCGCCCAAATAAGTGAACCAAGACCTGCTTGTTCAGAGGGCCGTCGGTTCACTTATTTTCAGTGACCCGAAGTCCCCGGGATCTGCCAGGACTGCCCAGGACAGCTGCGGGGAGCTTCAAGAGAGGGCCTCAGGGCGCCCCGAGACGGCCCTGGGCGAGGGGGCGGACGCGCCCATAAGCCACCCAAATAAGTGAACCCAGACTTGCTTGTTCAGAGGGCCGTCGGTTCACTTATTTTCGATGCCCAGAGGCCTCCGGAATCTGCCCAGAACAGCCCAGACAGCTGCGGAGAAGCCCCAGGAAGGGCCCCGGGGCGCCCCGAGACGGCCCCGGGGGCGGGGGCGGATGCGCCCATGAGCCGTCCAAATAAGTGAACCAAGACCTGCTTGTTCAGAGAGCCGTCGGTTCACTCATTTTCAGTGCCCAGAGATCGCCAGGATCTGCCCAGAGAAGCCCAGGACAGCTACGGGGAAGCCCAAGAGAGGGCCCCGGCGCGCCCCGAGACGGCCCGGGGGGGGCGGGTGCGTCTATAACCCACCCAAACAATGCAGACACATGGATCGAACACACAATATATATATATATATATATATATTCACATTCTGTCTTGCTCAACATGTGCCAACGCACATATACATATAAGTATATATAAAAGTGTGTGTGTGTTTGTGTATCAAGCCATACAAGTGTGTTTGTGTATCAAGCCATACAAGCGCATGTGTATGTATATGGGCGTATGCATGATTGTGAATCGATGTGGGTGAAGCCTATGTAGATACATGTATACATCTAAATGCATACAGTAATGTTAATGTATGTATATGTTTATGTATACTATATATATATATATATATCCGTATATTATATATATATTCATATATATACATATAATCAGATATTGTAACCGCAGTGTATGCGTGTGTGTGTTTATGTTTGTGCAGGCGCACATACTGTTGACATGCCGTGTGTACGATGTGTGAGTATGCTATGCCCCTGACTTCGCGGCGCGACCTTCATAATTCTTGACGCTACGCGTATCCCCGCCAGCCCATGCATAAACGATGCCCAGGCGAATTGAGGTGACCAGGGAAGTGAGGGAGCATACAGAGTAACAAAGGGTTGGGGAAACCGTCTTACCCCAAATGCCCCTGACTTCGCGGCGCGACCTTCAGAATTCTTGACGCTACGCGTATCCCCGCCAGCCCATGCATAAACGATGCCCAGGCGAATTGAGGTGACCAGGGAAGTGAGGGAGCATACAGAGTAACATAGGGTTGGGGAAACCGTCTTACCCCAAAAGGGGGATGGTGGAGGAGGAATTGGAGGAGGAGGAGGAGGAGGAGGAGGAGGAGGAAGACGAGGAACAGTAGGCGGAAGAAGGGGAGGAAACCAGCGAGCAAAATGGCCCGAGGCCTCTTGGATGCCTCTCGGAGTTTCTTCTGATGTATCTTGGGAACTTCTTGGACGCCTCTTGGGACGTCTTGGGGGCCTCATGGCGGTCCTGGAGGCCTCTTGGACCGTATTGGGTGCCTCGGGGAGGCTCTTGGGGCCTCTTGGGGGTATTTTGGGAGCCTCTTGGAGGCCTCTGGGAAGGAAATCTTAGGATGTCCTATGAAGCCCCAGGTGGTCCCAGGAAGCCCCAGGAGGCCCTAGGAGGCCCCGGGACGCCCCAGGAAACCACATGAGGCCTCAGGAGGCCCCAGGAGGCCCCAGGAGGCCCCAAGAGGCCCAGGAGGCCCAGGAGGCCCCAGGAAGCCCCAGAAGCACTTGGAGGCCCCAGGAGGCTTCAGGAGGCTCCA